TGTCCTTTAATTGGAAAAAACTCCCACGCACCCTCGCGGGGGCGGAAAAAGGAGGTGTGACAAGGAGTATATTTAAATGAGACTTTTTAGTTATTTTTCACTTTTCAAAACCCTAAAACATAAGAAGAGGCGATTTTTCAAACACTCTTTCTTCTCCCAAAATACTAGTAAGTGATTTTTAACTTATTTCTCTCACTCCTTAACTTCTTTTAATAAGATTTCATCCTAGAATCTAGGGTTTCATGGTGGAATTGGGAATTTCGGGTAAAACTTAAGAATATTGAAATTTGGGGATTTAGATCTCAAATTGACGTCGAATTCCAAAATCAATTATATATTCGGGGTCGTGGGTGAATGGGTAATCGGGTTTTGGTACGAATTTCGGATATGGACCAAGCGGGCCTGAGGTCAATTTTTAACTTTTTGGGAAAATAATTGAAAAACCTATTTTCATGCATTAGAATTGATTCATTTAGAGTTTATTGATATCGTTAAGTAAATTATGGCTAGATACAAGCGAGTTGGTGGTGGAAACAAGAGGTAAAGCGGTAGTTGAGGCTTTTATTGTATTCGTGGCATCGAGGTAAGTGTTTGGTCTAACCTTAGCTTGAAGGATTAGGAGTTGAGTCTTATTTGCTATGTGTTAATTGTTGAGTACGACGTATAGACATGGTGACGAGTATCTATACGTTGGTTTCAAGCATGCCCGTGAGTCTTATACTATGATTAATGTGACTTTATTTCATATTGTTCCTGCTTTATATGATGATTTCCATTGAGGGATATGATTTGTGGAGGTATTATTGGTAATTGAACATTATAGAGTGTTGGCTCAAGTTGAGAATTGAATTGTTGCATTGTAGAGCGTTGGCTCAAGTTGAGAATTGAATTGTGAGGTAAATGTGGAAAGGAGAAGAGGTTTATGATATTATCTTCCTTGCCGGGATGTTATTTTTTTTTATATTATCTCCCTTGCCGGGATGTTATGATTCATGATATTGTCTCCCTTGCCAGGATATTGTTGTTGTGCTATTGTTCCCTTCCCGGGATTTTATTGTAATCTTATTAATTCCCTTGCCCTTATTGATTTGTGATTGTTGTTTGGGTAAGGAAGAGTGTTAAAGCACGAAGGATGATGCCGTGTATGATATTTGTGAGAGAGTGTAAAGCACGAAGGGTGATACCGTGCCAATATTGTGAGGTAAAGCACGAAGGGTGATGCCTTGCCGCATGATGTACAACTCCGTGCAGATTATATTGATTCTTATGGTGAGGACGAGAGCAAAAGCACGAAGGGTGATGCCGTGAACTTGTCTTTTTTTCCCGATTCTTGTTGGTAATCGAACTTTGGTGATCCTTATATTTATCTGTTGTTCTTCGGTTATTTTTTTTGATGTTCCCCGCAACATGTTTCCCCTTCCCATCCTTAACTGTATATTTCTGCCTTTATTTCCGCGGTATATGATTTAACTGCATAGGTTTATTTGGTAGTCTGGTCCTAGCCTCGTCACTACTTCGCCGAGGTTAGGCTAGACACTTACCAGCACATGGGGTCGGTTGTGCTGATACTACACTCTGCACTGTATGCAGATCCCGGAGCACTAGTTTTTGGACCGCAGTGAGGGTGCTGCCTTCAGTCCATTCAGGCGACCCGAGATAGCCCTGCAGGCGTCCGCAAGCCCTGGCGTCTTCTTCTATCTTTCTATATTGTTTCTTCTATGTATTTTTAAAACAACTTATATTTACCTTTCGAACCCTTATTTGTAGTATTCTTAGACAGTTTGTGACATTGTGACACCAAATTCTGGGTAGAGTTGTACTTAAATTTCCGCAGTGTATTAATTTGACTATCAAATTTTGTCTTCCGCACTGTTTTTGTTATTATTATTATTTCCGTTGTTTCTGTTATATTGTTTTGGAATTGCTAAGGGATTAAAAATGAAAATGGTTAAACAATTGGACTATTTGGCTTGCCTAGCTTTCACTAGCAGGCACCATCACAACTCTCGAGGGTGGAAAATCCGGGTCGTGACACATAATGTTCTTGTAATCTACTTTTAATTAACCCATATCAGAAGTCAAATTAAACAAAATACCTGACATTTGTAGTGAATGTTCTGCTGAAAAATTTCCAAATAGGGCATTCAATAATATATCACACAAATTAATAGAGAAATAATTTCATTTATATCAGATTTATTATTATGGTATAATTTTACATGACTACTATGAAAAAATTCAAGTGGCACTATATGGAATTGTATTAACAGTCTCTAATAGTAACTTAATTGTAGCCGTTTAACAATTGGAGGTCGTGAATCTTGTTTAATTTCTTAAAACTTGGTAGATGATGTATTAATTCCAAAAACTTAGAATGAGTGTTAACGTAATTAACTAAGATTTACATTGTTATTTTAATCTAGTATTAATTCCAGTTATTTACGTCTTGTAATTCAATATTCGTCTTCGATCTTGTGACTTAATTAATGTCAAAAAGGAAAAAATTGAATTAAGTTGACATTCTTATAAATCAACATTTGATCCTTAATCCTTAGCTTCATTTATTTACAAAAACAAATACTGGTAATTTATCTTATTAGTAATAAAATTAATTAGCATATATCGATTTCAAAAAGAAAAAAAATAGTCAAATATCCCTTCAGCGCAGCTATAAGATGATCCTGTCATTTTTTGTTTATATTTTTTAAGCATTATTGATTTAATAAAGTAAATAGAAAATATAATAAAGAAAGTATTAGTATAAAATGGATCAAGCCATTGAAACTTCACCTATACACATGGCATCATCTAAGTAGTCCATTAAAAATTACTGGACATCACATAACTGGAGGGGATCCTATCCCGTTTGACAGATATAGTGGCGAGTAATTCTTTTCTTCTTCTTCTTCTTCTTTTTACACTCCTTTTATCGTTAAATTTTTCAAAGCAGATAATGATTAGTAGTGAAGTCAGAAATTTTACTAAAGTATAGCAAAATATAATGAATTAAACACACAAAAAAATTAAGACGATTTAACATATAATATAATACTAAAATAAAAAAATTTACATAGCCAGAATGTAATTTTCCAGCAAAATGATGTCAATTTACACCCCTTAACGGGCTTAACCTAAGGTGGCTCCTCCACGAAATATGATGTTTGGGAACAAGGGTTGATCTAGTGTAAAGGCTTACGGGTTTATGTGAACGCAGTAACTTTTGCGTAGATCTTGTATATGGAGAAAAAAGTTTATTAAAAATATTAAAATATTTAACTTAAACTCAATTTGTTGATCCAGTTATCATGTATATTAATTTGAGATTATTATAAAAACTCATAAGCTTAAAATTTTAAATCTGCCAATTCGTTTGGAAAGGGTTAATCCAATAATTTCAATGAATTGATTGTAAAAAGAAATTGTCATTAAAATGAAGGACAAATGCAGGATTTAATCGAAAATCGTATAGCCACAAATCCAATGGTCCAGTAGGGGCAAATACTTAAATACATGAGCTAAGTGAATACTCATTTGCACCACTTCCTATGGCCTTATCCTCGCTACTATCCCCTTCACCAACTCATGTTTCTTCAACCTCCACACAATCTATTCCCAAGCTTTACCACTACTGTCATTCCATCTCTTTTTCTTTCCAAAATACTCCTAGTTTCACCTCCTTTCCAAGTCCGCAAAATCAAAAATGGCGGACCAGTGTTTCTTTCTTCCCTGCTTTCTTCAACAAGACCAAAGACCCTACACCCATTAAACAAGAGCTTCTTGAGGCCATTGCCCCTCTTGATCGTGGCGCTGAAGCCACTCCTGAAGACCAGGAAATAATTGATCAGGTTTGCTTAATTACTACTCCCTCCATCCTAATTTATATGACACATTTTACTTCGAAATTCAAATTATACCAAGTTTGACCAATATTTTGAGATGTAATTTTTTTTAAATATATTGATACGAGAAGAAATGCAACTTATACTCCATCTGTTTTGAACTTTTTCGGTACAAATGTCCAATATTGACTAATTTTCCATGAGAATTTGGTCATAAATACTTTTTTGAAATAAAATTTACATATTTAAAAATTACATAAAAAATACTACTATAAGCTACCATAGTCAGATATTGAAAATATCAAAAACTATTTGTTAAAAAATATTCAAAAAAATCTTGTTTGACTCTCCAAATAATAATAGGTTCATTCTTTTTCAAATGGAGGGATTAGTACTTTTCATATAGTTTTTAAATATATAAATTTTAATTTCAAAAAATTGAGTCGAACTAATTTAAGTTTGCTTGAAAATTAATCAAATTGACTCTTGATAAGCGAAATGTATCATATAATTGAAACAGAGGGAGAATGTTCCACTGACTTAGCTTGTTGGTGCGGAGATAAATATTCTAAGCCATACGAGCTGATTGTAGTTCCCATGTTTTCTTGATCTATGTTTAGGACTTGTTCAATGTCTATAGGTAGAGACAGAGCTAACTCAGAATTATAGGCGTTTTAAGTTACTGCATTATAAATTAATAACTTACGTATATTTTTTAAGACAAATACATTATATTATTTGAATCAAATTCATTGGGTTCGGCGGAACCCGAGCGGAAGAGTTCGCTCCGCCCCTGTCTATAAGTTCCGGAAAATGTTAATAAGAGTTAGATTAGCAAAGATGATACTGTGAAATTGTGCACATCATTTCATACTCTGTCCCTTAACATTGTTGTTTGATTAGATTGCTCGCAAACTTGAAGCTTGTAATCCAACAAAGGAGCCTCTCAAGTCAAATTTTCTAAATGGAAAATGGGAACTTATATACACAACATCCAAGTCAATTTTACAAACTCAAAGACCCAAGATTTTAAGATCTAGAGTAAATTACCAAGCAATAAATGGAGATACACTTCGAGCTCAAAATATGGAAGGATGGCCATTTTTCAACCAAGTTACTGCAGATTTGACCCCATTGAATTCAAGAAAAGTGGCAGTAAAGTTTGATTATTTCAAAATTGGTGGGATTATACCTGTTAAAGCTCCAGGAAGAGCTCGAGGCGAGCTTGAAATTACTTACTTGGATGAAGAATTGAGAGTATCAAGAGGTGATCTTGGCAACTTATTCATTTTGAAAATGGTGGACCCTTCTTATAGGGTCCCGACTTGAGATTGAATACTCGATTCGGTTTCAATTTATGTGAATTTATTTGTCTGGATACGAAGTTTAAGAAAAAAATAAAGATTTGTAAAACTTGTAGTCCTGAGCAAGCCATAGCATTTGTGTGGCTATAATTCTTTTGAAAGTTTAAAAATGTCAGTATTTGTATGACTATATAAAAGTTTTTCATTGAGGGTAGAACTGAATGTTTAAGTTAAATTGTCTCCAAATTTAAAAAGTGATCATTTTTTTACACCAACAAAAAAAAAAAGATTTAAATAAACTGAAACAGAGTGAATAGTTATCTAGTGTCACAACTTATATCATAAAAGTACTAGTTTGTGCAAATTATTTGAAAAAGTTTCTCCATTTTAATCTATACAGAATTGCATTCGAAGCGAGTAACTCTGAAACGCATAACAAATCTACACTAGTACTCCCTCGTCCCTATTTGTTTGATGCATTTCAAATTTTAAGAGTCACGCGAGTTTTTCTTTGACCATTATTTTTGTATACTCCTTTTGAATATTAAGAATGAAGTATTAATTATTGTGACTTATAGTACTTTTAATGTAGTTTTTAATTAAGTATATTTTTTCAAAAAATTAAAGAGTCCATATCTGAATCCGTGGCCAAATTGAAAAATTTGACTCTCAAACTTCGAAATGCATCGAAAACAAATTGGGACAGAGGGAGTAATATTTAACTATGATTTCAATATTCAAAGTTCAAATGCCAAGGACAAAGGATGGTATCAAAGTAACATCAAGGACATTATTCCAGTTCTCACCTGACCATTATATTCTTCCCTTTATAAGTTATCTCTATCACCCACACAAAGCTGTATAAAGTCTCTCAAACATCACAAAATTGACAATAAAACATATCATAAAACAACCAATGAACTCACACTTTTTTAATAAACTAGCACGTACTACTTATTTTTCTAACACAGCTATTTCTTAATGTTATTTCTTGGGTGCGATCCTTTCTCGAACCCTGCGTGAAAGCAAGATGACTTGTACATCGACTGTCCGTTGTTTGATCTAGGAGAATAATCCTTGAAGTTGTTCCACCATTTTCTTATCCAATTGGAAGGCTTTGGAAAGAACATCTTCAACAAGAGGTGGATTTGATCCAAAGAGTTCACTAGCAACCACAATAAGCCCAGGATTCTGACTATTCAAAGCACCAAAAACAGTTGCATTAGCATGTCCAACATTATACTGAAAGTGAATAAGTCCTTGTGGAAACACAAATACATCTCCTGGATTCAATATTTTGGTAAAAGAACGAGTTTTTAATGGATTAACAGTGTCAGGAGCCAAAAATCCAACATAAAGAGTACCTTCTAAAACAACAATAATCTCAGTACCACGAGGGTGTGTGTGCGGTGGTATAAGGCCAAACGGTGAAAAATCTGCGCGAAGAATAGAAATGCCAAGAGTGTTAAGTCCTCCAAGTCTATTTACATCTACCACATTTACAGCTGATCCCATTCCTGGTAATGGATTTCCACTAATGTTAAGTCCTGGAAGAAAGAAATCATCTGCTGTCGCGAGTTTTGGATCTTTGCATAATTTTCCATTCACGAATACTGCAAAAATAAAATAGAACAAAATTCAAAGTATATATGTATTAGTGTAAACCAAAATTTAAAGAAAATGAAAAGGAAATAGTTTAAATAGTGTAAATGAATGTTTACAGAAGATCAGGTCACCTAACTAATTAATAACTACAGGACATTTTACGAGACAATTATTTTGTTGATTTCCTACTAAAGAAGCTGGGCAACTTCTATCCGGAGTTTGATCATTGGAAAGAGTCACACCTCACTACATGCACCAATTATATTATGAATGAAATGAGTGAAAATTTTCCTTCCCCGGACCTAATTTGGATAGCTGAGTGGTTAATCCTGATCCAACCATTGCCATCAGTTTGAAGATGGAAGGTTGTGCTAAGACTCACGTTGCTACCCAAAGTCGGGTGATAGACATTCATATATTCGCCAAGCACAAGATAAAGGGAAATTTAGGTCATGTTAAAATGCGACTTATGGCATCTAATGGTCAAATGCCTACGTTCAGTTTATCTTTGAAAACTCAAACAGACAGAACAAACGAACTCAGGTGTTTGTTACAAAAGGCGAACATTCCCTTTCTAAACATTAACCCAGATCTTTACGTATAACTATTCATAATAAGTGGAGAAATAAAGTAAGTAATTTGCTACAACATGCATGTTAAAAATATCCCGAGAGCATAATAAAATACTACATCATTAAATCCAAAAGCAATATGAATATAAAGGAGAGGTTTTGCTAAACGGTTATATACCTGCAGACTTGGAGTCACTAACTGCAATACAGAAGTCCTGAAAAGGGCTAGGATCAAAGGAAGAACCAAAAGGAAAAATGAAACCAACGGTGACTAAGATAATTGTGAGGAGGCAAAAATCCATTTTGGATCCAAACAACTTAAGTTTTTTTGAATTAAAACTTCGTTTTGCTTGTGAGAATTCTATAACAGATCACAAGTGATGAAGTGCACTGTAAATTAATCTCAGCCTATTTATAGATAGTTGTCATTTGTCAGCATTGTTCTCCTATAACTTAACAGCTTAACTTTAGAATTAAGTTTCCTAGTCGTTTCTTATTGTAATAAACACTGATTCTTTCTTGAAAATAGCCACCTTATTCATAACTTGTTTTTGACATGTAAACCTCATTCATCTGTTTACCCTTTAAGCTCCCTTAAAATAGAAGAAAACTGAGAAGTTGATATATTACCTTAATACAACTTCAAGTTATTCTTCTTGGCTATGTCATGTCGGTAGAGAGAATTAATTAAATTTTACTTTAAGTCTTGGATAAGCTCCCGAAGGAGCACAATAGATGAGTTGATAAGGTAAAATTGCTTATCCTTACATGATATTTACACCAAATCAATAAATATAATATACAAACTTTATTATGCTTGGAAAGGTAGCCCCGTGCACTAAGCTCCTGCTATGCGCGACGTCTGGGGAAGGGCTGGATCACAAGGGCCTATTGTACGCAGCCTTATCCTGCATTTCTGCAAGAAGCTGTTTCCACGGATTGAACCCATGACCTCCTGGTCACATGCATGGCAATAACTTTGCCAGTTACGCCAATGCTCCCTTCAATAAGAACTACGAAGTGAAGATTTAATAAAACATATGGTCATGCCTACATCTTTATTTTAACAGTTCAACAGAACTAGTAACTAATTAATTGCACACCACAACTTTCACCACACAGTAGTTGACATCCTGCTGTGTGACCGATAGTGGAGGAGAGTCATTAAAAAGTTTTGTTTAGGAGGAGATTTTTCTCTCGATATTTTTCTTCTTTTATATTAGTTTTATCATATGTAGATCAATTGACCAAACTATTATAAACTATTATGCTTAATTTAGTATATTTTTCTTTTGTCGTCTGATTTATCGTCCACCAACCTTTGTATTGTTAGTTTCCGCATACACCATGTTATTTCGATCCCAACACTGCCGCCGCTAGTAGACAACAACAAAAGCACATGAATATCTAGAATATTAAAATATACCCATCACTGGTCCAAGATCGTATAAAGCTAGTCCGGTATTATCAGAAAGGATAGTCGTTATGCCCCTTCATATATGGCCGACGTTTATGACTTGTTGACTTAAAATAGTTTGACAAAAATATGTTTTTTTTTGGGTTTCTTGAGTATTTGATATTCAATTAAAGGAAACAAAATAAAATGAGAGAACATCGACGAGAAAAGTGAATAATAATTCCTAACAATTGGTGCTAGTTCCAAAATGACTCTTTTTAGAAAGTTTAACTTTGTAATAATGACATATTTTCAAAAATCCATTTGGTAATGAAATTCTTTTATGTTTGCCCAAATAAATCATTGGCGACTTTTCATCGGAAGACAGAGGCAGCACCAAGTTTGCAATTTCTGAGTTTATATGCAGTTAAGATGCTTGATTTTGGATCGTGATAAACTTGATATTAGAGCCCTAGGCTTAAAGTTATGTGAGTCAAAGAATAATGTTTTAGTCTCGTTTATGGATGTATTGAATCTCATACTTATACGCTAGAGGCACAACGACATTTAAGAAAGTTTCTCTTCATTGATTCTTTCCCTTGTGCTATAGAACTTGAAGTAAGGAATACGACATCCTTCATTTCCGCGCACGCAAGGGTGGGAACACGTTCATCTGATCAAGTACTAGCGGTTAATGATATATGTTAATTCTAATTCCATAAACATATAGGTATTAGGTTAGCTTGAATAGGTGAACACGGACTCAAAATATTCTTATGAGAAATATTAACCTTATTAACCAATAAATCAGATAAATTAATTAGTCAAATTATGTGAAAAACTCAACAAGATTGTTAGCTGGTGACTCATAATACTGAAATATTCTCTCTTAGTGAATTCAGTCTCTAAGTTTGCCTACTTGTCTTCGTTAATTGCTTTATTTTAGTATGTTATATTATTTGCAGTTAGTTAAAATCAACAACTTGAGAAACCGTTTGAATAAATAATTCGTTTTAGTTTAATTTAGTTAATAGCTAATAACAAGTCCTCGTGAGAACGATACTCTACGTACTTATCACTTTATTACTCGTCGCCCGTACATACTTGCGGGTGTATTGGCTGCAAAAATAGTCATACAGTTCAACACTAAATATCATTGAACTTTTATTATTTGTGGAATTGTGGTACATTTGAGAGAATCTAGAAGGTAAAGAGACATATATAGATCTTTCTCAAATTTTACTCTGTAGTGAACGACCTTACAAGTAAGAAGAGAAAATTTATTAAAACTTAAAGGCATCCCTGCATCTTTATTTCATCAGTTCAACAGAACTATTAACTATTTACAAACCACAACTTTCACTACATGATTGACATCCTGCAGGTGAGCGATAGCGGCTCCTGTTTACTAATATACTACTCATCACTGATCAAAGATTATATAAAGCCCGGTATTATCAGAAAGGATAGGCGTCATGTCCCTTCATGAATGCGTTTGTGACATGTCTTACTTAGGAGAATTTCTTCCGAAGATCTTCAATCACCGTCTTATCCAATTTAAAAGCTTTGGCAAGATAATCATCGTTAATAGGAGGATCAGAAGCAAAGATTGAACTAGGAACAATGGCAGATAAATAATTTGCGCCGTTGAAAGCCTGGACTACTGTTGCACTAGTGTTTCCCACAGTATATTGAAAGTGAATATGACCTTGTGGAAAAACAAACACATCACCAGCATTCAAGATTTTTGAAACGAGTTGAGTCTTTTGCAAGTTACTTGAATAAGGAACAAGAAAGCCAACATATAAACTACCCTCTAAGACAGTCAATAGCTCAGAAAATTGAGGATGTGAATGAGGAGGTATAACAGCTAATGGCTTGCATATTAAACGAGCAATAGTAATACCAATAGTGTTGATTGCTGGAATTGTTCTTGCATCTACCACAGATGAATAGATACCATCATAGTTAGCCAATGGCTTCAATTGACTGGGATTAAGCGCTGATGAAGCAAAGAAATCATCTGCATTTACAAGCTTTGAGTCTTTGTATATCTTTTCCTTCTTCAAATCTATGCGCATAGGTTAAATAAAATCTTTATACTCCTTTCATTTCAATTTATATGACCTAGTTTGACTAGATACGGAATTTAAAGAAAGAAAGACATTTGAAACTTATGGTTTCATAATATTTATGTGACTTTAAATTTTTTGATACTTGCGTTCACGGGTGTACACATGAATTTTTTTAAGCAGTGTTGAAACATATAGAAGAATTTAATCTATTGGTTTTGTTGAATCTTAAAAGTTAGAAAAGGTCCTGAATTAAATTCTACTTCATCATAATGTTTAACCATATAGATTCTCTCAAATATTTTAAAAAAAGATGTGCTAGTTGAGGTTCGAGCCTTTAGCCTTTTAGAGTAAAATCAAGCACATAACCAATCTGCAAAGAGATAATTTACATTAAGTGGTGTCATGTTTTTTCTATTTATCCAAAAAGTTCGACCAAGCAGTGTCGTGTGACACCGGTTCAATAAATGTGCATCCACCCCTGCTTGCGATTTTAAACAAATTATAATATTTGTATATCTAATAAAGCTTGTCATTAAGTGTAAAATAGAGAGTTCAAGTTAAACTGTTTTCAAATTTTAAAAAGTATTATAATATTTTGGAACATGCTAATAAAGAAATATGATGACTGAAAAAGTGTCATGAAAACAACATAAATCCAGAAAGTGAGAACTAATATTGTTGGAAAAGGATTGAATTGCCAGAGCAGCTTCAGGGTCTTTAAGATGATATCCACCAGCAAATGAAGAAAGGAAGATAGTGCTGATTAACAAGCATAGGGTCATTGATATTGCACTAGTACGTTGTTCCCATAGCAAAAACTCTAGCTCTAATTACAATGTTGTTTTGCTTTGAGTTTGCTGTTTGAATTTCTTTCAAACAACTAGAGATGCGTGACTATTTATTGTTTGGATCTTGTTATTTTGTAATAGGAAAAATTGTGGTATTAGTAACTCAAATTATAAGTAAAATCCAATAGATTTCTCATAGTATCTAGTCAAAATATATAATATTTTGACGGTTGTTACCTATTGTATTATATCATATAATTACTTTAAATACAATGTTTATTTTGAACTTTATTTAAATTTTATTGTATCGTATCGTCGTTACAAAACTAACGACAAAAAGTCTCACTTTATGTTTTTTTTTAAAGTTTTCCAGCTGAATACTAGGTGTGTTGTATTATCTTCAAAGGGGGGGGGGGG